AACCTCCGCTCGACGATCCTCGCTGCTCCAAGCTGTCTAGGTGGTGGCAACCACCAAGAGTAACAAGCGAATCCCGTAGCGAAACATGAACACCAAGTGCCTCTAGATGCAATCACTCAAGCAATGCACTTGGATTCACTCCCAATCTCACAAAGATGTTGAATCAATGATGAAGATAAGTGGGAGGGCTTTGGCTAAGCTCACAAGGTTGCTATGTCAATGCAAATGGCCAAGAGAGTGAGCTTGAGCCGGCCATGGGGCTTAAATAGAGAGCCCCACGAATAGAGCCGTTGGGCTCCTCACTGCACTGAACACGGGGCGACCGGACGTGTCGGTCGATGTGACCAGACGCGGGACCCCAGTGTTCGGTCGCCGGATGCTTGTCACGTGTCATCGGTTACAAACATTGATCGCCCGATCTCAACGGTCATTAGTACATTTAAGTAGTGACCGGACGCGCTGCTTAAAGTGACCGGACGCACCAACACCAGCGTCCGGTCGTTTCCAGTAAGGTATCAGAAGCGAAAAATCACGACCGGACGCGTCCGGTCATGCCCGACCGGACACACCTAGCGTCCGGTCACTCAACGTCATCATACGTCATACTGACCGGACTCAGGACCTGAGCGTCTAGTCAGTTCTCGTGCCAGCGTCCGGTCATTAGACCGAAACCGCACGCTCACTGCTGCCACTAACCGAACGCGCCGGTCCTACCGAGACCAACATCTGGTCACTTACAGTGACCTTCATCTTTTCTGTATAGAGTGCCGGTGGCACCGTCGGACTTATTGACCTCCTTCTTGAGGTTCTCATTCTCAACCATTAGTGAGGTATCATAAGTGAGACCACCACTACTAGATGAGGTGGAAGTAGAAGTACTACAAGAAGGGTTAGCGGGAGAAACAATGATAGGCATAGATAATGATTCATCAATTATATCACAAGTTAAGCCTATATTGCTAGTCTCAACACGCTTCTTTTTATTTTGCTCATCAAGCAAAGAGGAATAAGCAATTTCAAGCTTTTTGTGGGCCTTGCCAAGCATCTCATGGGCTTACTCTAGCCTCTCATGAGATGCATTGAGCTTATCAAAGGCTTGCTTAAGGCCTTTTAGTTCCTTACGCAAGCTTTTGCATTCTATTCTCTTCATGTTAAAGTGTTCTTTAGCATCTTCTAGCATGTCAAATAGTTCTTCCTTAGTAGGTTCATCATCATCACTATCACTATTATTTTTATTTTCATTGTCATGTTTCTCATCACTTCCATCATCACAATTTTGTACCTTAGTGGCCTTAGCCATGAAGCATGATGGAGTGTCGAAGAGAGAAGGCTTCTCATTGATAGCAATGCTTATAAGTGCCTTCTTCTTGGTGGTATTGTCATCATCACTATCATCATCACTTGAGGAAGCATCACTATCCCAAGTGACTACATATGAACCACCCTTCTTCTTCTTGAAGGTCATCTTATCCTTCTTCTCTTTCTTTTCCTTCTTGTCCTTCTTCTTGTCATCATCTTTGTCGCTATTGTATGGGCATTGAGCAACAAGATGATCTTTGCTTCCATAATTGAAGCACCTTCTTGACCCTTCCTTGTTCTTAGATGGAGACTTCTTTCTTCTAGCACGGTAGCCCTTCTTCATCATGAACTTGCCAAATCTTTTAACAAAAAGAGCCATCTTTTCATCATTCATCTCATCAAATGAACTATCATCTTCACTTGATGTTTCTTGCTTTGCCTTGCCCTTAGATGATGTGGCCTTGAATGCAACGCTCTTCTTCTTCTCATCCTTCTTCTCATCTTTCTTCTCCTTCTTTTCTTCCTTCTCATCATCATCTCTATATGTATCATCGGTCATTATGTCTCCCAACACTTAGTTTGGTGTCATGGTGTCCAAACCACTCCTCACTAGAATAGTAACCAATGTGCCAAATCTTGAAGACAAGCATCTCAAGAACTTGTGGGAGAAGTCCTTGTCCTTCACCTCTTCTCCAAGTGCTCTGAGATCATTGACAAGCACTTGAAGCCTATGGAACATCTCCGGCACACTCTCATCCTCCTTCATCTTGAAGCTTGCAAACTTCTCTTTGAGAATGTATGCCTTTGCACCCTTCATGGCTTGAGTGCCCTCAAATGATTTCTCCAATTTTTTCCATGCCTCATGAGCTCTCTCAATATTCTTGATTTGCTCAAAAGTTCTCTCATCCAAAGCATCTTGGATGGCACTAAGAGCAATATCATTATTTTGGAGTAGCATTTCTTCGGCGGCGGTGGGAGCCTCTTCATCTTCAATCTCAATCTTTGTCTCTACCACCTTCCAAACTTTTCTTTTGATTGACTTGATATAAGTTGTCATCTTAGCTTTCCAATAGGGATAAATTTGAGCCATCAAATTGGGGTGGCTTCTTGGTGTTGTTGATTTGAGCCATTTTTACACCGAAGGTTGTTAAGCCTCAAATCACGGTGACATCGGCTCTGATGCCACTTGAAAGGTCCTAATGGCTAGAGGGGGGGCGAATAGCCTATAACAATTTCTACAACAACAATTAGCAAACCGGTTAGACAAATATGAGGTGAAGCGAGTGTTGTGCTAGCCTACTAAAAATACAAGCCACCTACCACAATTCTAGTTTATATAGTCTCTATCCACACAATAACTATGTCACTACACTAAGTTAGTGTGCTCTCAAATCGCTCGGGGCCTTAGGGGCTACTATCGGGGATCAATAGTAGGGTACCAAAAGAGGAGTTGATACCCATCAATGCTAATTCACCAGAGTGATCAAGAACACGACTATATTTCTCAGTGGGCCCTGCTTCATCCAAACCACCAAGGCCGCAGGCTCCATTTCGTCCGATCGACCGACCCCCAAGGGTTGGGAACGCCTCAGCCCGATGTCTGAGGGCTGGCTCCACCTCGCCCGACGTCTGAGGGCTAGCTCTGCCTCGCCCGACGTCTGAGGGCTGGCTCCGCCTCGCCCGACGTCTGAAGGATGGATTCGCCTCGCTCGACGTCTGAGGACTAGCTCCACCTCGCCTGACCCCCGAGGGATGGCTCTGCCTCGCCCGACCCCCGAGGGGTGGCTCCGCCTCGCCCGACGTCTACGCAAATAAGGCAGGGCACTCAAGTCAGCCGTAATACCGAGGACCATACCTTGCATGCCTGTAGAAAAGTACCATCAGGATATGACAAGAAGGGTGCTTTGAGCCCTTCTAGGCATGTCATAGCCCAAACAGTGTTGTAGGCGCCGACATTTATCTTATAGTGTTGTGGGCGCCGTCATCTGCCCTCGGGCACGGATCCTGACGGAAGCTCACGACAACCACTACGGTCTAGGAGGGAACTCGCATTACCTACAGTAATGGACGTACGGTCACTGCGCCGTCTGCTCCATGTATGACCGCGGATCAGCACCCTAGTCCGCCGCGCTGCCCGGTGGAGCGGGATGTGACGTGACAACTTGCTGACAATGCTAGGACATGGCATCATCAGCGGACAGACGCCCAGCACGGCCCTATTAGGATCAGCGAACATGCACCCAGCGTGGAGTTATCCCTGGCACCGCCTGCCATGTCAGCGAGGCCCACATAGCGGAAAACGAAGATCCAGCATCTTTGAAGGACATCCTTTGCCTCTAGTTTTTCTCTTTTCTCCCATCTGTAATCCCTGCTCTCCCTTGGCCTATAAAAGAGAAGGCAGGGAACCCCACTAAGGGGATCGATTCAACACACCACGCATCGCATCACATATAGGTGAGCAGCAACCAAGCTCTCAACACACATTCGACCTTTTCATCAGAGACTGGGGACATGTCCCTCTCTCATCCGTTTGTAACCCCTACTATGAACTTTTCAGCGCTAATAACACGAGTAGCAGCCACGAACTGGACGTAGGGACATTCTGCCCGAACCAGTATAAACATTGTGTCTTTTTATCACACCATCCAGGCCAGATGCGCAATAACACAAATTTACTCGTTGACGTTTACTCGAAACACCGACAGAACTAAACAAAGCCTAAATTCCATTACATTCCACTCCAACACTCGCGGATTGAAGTGGATACACATGCATCCAAACAAGGCCTAAAATGGAGTGATGTGCTTGTTTTGATCCATGGGTAAAGTTAACCTACCTTGTGAGAAAGTTAAACATGAATGAATTGTAGGCTAATACATTAACCACCAATTAACCTCATTAGCTCTTATTAACCATAATTAACACATGTTTAGTGGTAAAATAGGGACTAACTATGACCCTGAAGTACCACGAGTAGTCATTCTTAGTGGTTTTCCCTAAGGGGTTTTTTTTGTCTTTGTCCGGACCACAAGAAACTAACAACGAAACTTTCGTTTTTTCCTTTTTTTTTGACAAAGAACATAACTTTCTGCTCGTTCCGGCTACGTAGATTGGTATCAACGGTTGTGCACAGCAGCAAAGGCCAACCGGTTCGTCTCCGCCTTTTCGAAGGAGTAGGTTAAATTCTGTTTCGCCGGACGCCGGTGGAGTACTTTTATTTTACGCAAAGCGAGTCAAATATGAACGCGTCACAGCGCTCAGTAAACTCCGATGCTAATCACCCAGAAGGCACAGAAGACCACGCCTGGCTCAGCTCATGCAAGATTGCAAGGTCGCGGTCGCACCGTCCATCGGCCCCACACGTCATAAATCCAGCACGCCAAACGTTCACAGTTCACACCACACGTTCGCCAAAATAGCATCGGATTCTTTTCACCCGGCAGTAAAATTTGGAAATGACCATCTGCCTACTCTAATTTTGTCACTGGCAGGTAGGCCTGACGAGCATAGCCCCACCTGTCACTGGTGAAGAAGATATCGCGTCCCAAGTCCCATCCATTTCTCCCTTCTATAAATGGGACCCCAAGGTGCACAGCTTCTCATCGCCCCGTCCCAGAAACTCCACTCTACTGGTCCCTCTGATCAAGCGATCCACCACCCTACCCTCCCGAAAACCACCCAGGAGAGTAGAGCGCGAGAAGATGTTCGGCTTCGGGCACCACGGCCACCACGGCCAGAACCCACCGGCGCACCCCCCGGCCCACGGCGGCGTGCACCAGCCCACCTTCAAGATCTTCTGCAAGGCCGACGAGGGGTACTGCCTCACCGTCCGCGACGGCAACGTGGTGCTGGCCCCCGCCAACCCGCGCGACGAGCACCAGCACTGGTACAAGGACATGCGCTTCAGCAACCAGATCAAGGACGAGGAGGGCAACCCTGCGTTCGCCCTCGTCAACAAGGCCACGGGGCTCGCCGTCAAGCACTCCCTCGGCCAGTCCCACCCGGTACGGTTCCGGCACTCCCTCCTTTTGTTTCCTTTCCTTAGCTCTCTCTGATCTTGCTTTTCTTTTCCTGTTTGGTCGTCTGATTCGTTGTTTATCCGATTGCGTGCATAGTTCTTGTTGGATCTTTGGATGTTGGCGTTCTTGATTTCATTTGATTTTTTTGTTTTCAGGTGAAGCTGGTGCCGTTCAACCCGGAGTACCAGGACGAGTCGGTGCTGTGGACGGAGAGCGGCGACGTAGGCAAGGGCTTCCGCTGCATCCGCATGGTGAACAACATCCGCCTCAACTTCGACGCCTTCCACGGCGACAAGGGCCACGGCGGCGTGCACGACGGCACCACCGTGGTGCTCTGGGAGTGGGCCAAGGGCGACAACCAGAGCTGGAAGATCCTCCCCTGGGGCGACGAGGCCTACGCCGGTGGCAGCGCCGCCAACGCTCCGTACGGCCACGGCGAGCCCACCGTCCGCATCTACTGCAAGGCGGACGACGGGTTCAGCGTCACCGTCCGCAACGGCAGCGTGTGCCTGGCGCCCACCAGCCCGCGCGACGAGTACCAGCACTGGGTCAAGGACATGCGCCACAGCAACAGCATCAAGGACGAGGAAGGGTACCCGGCGTTCGCGCTCGTCAACAGGGTCACCGGCGAGGCCATCAAACACTCCCAGGGCGAGGGCCACCCGGTGAAGCTGGTGCCGTACAACCCCAACTACCAGGACGAGTCGGTGCTGTGGACGGAGAGCCGCGACGTCGGGCACGGCTTCCGCTGCATCCGCATGGTGAACAACATCTACCTCAACTTCGACGCCTTACACGGCGACAAGGACCACGGTGGGGTGCGCGACGGCACCGCCGTCGTGCTGTGGAAGTGGTGCGAGGGCGACAACCAGCGCTGGAAGATCGTCCCCTGGTGTAAGTCGAGTCTCACCTCACTCACACAGGACACTGCTTTTCCCCCCTCTCCAGAATCTTGATTTCGGAGTAGAAAAATCAGCACATCTATTCCGCAAAGGACAAAAAAAAGCACATCTTACCTAACCGCACTACCAGAAGCTTCATAAAGTGATTGTCGGTAGAAACAGATAGCTTTATCTCACTATTATTAGTCACCCTTTTGAATTACTGGCATGATGATGTTGTTGCTTGCGTCTGCAGAAATGTGCTGTGCTGGGGCTGCATTGGTCATCACCGGGATCTGGAGTTGGAGTTGGAGAGCACAGCCACCTGTGGTCAGCAGCAGCTGCTGCTGCCGTGTTGTTAGAATAAAGTTGGTGTGCGATCGATCTGTGGTGATGGTGCGTCTGTGTCTGTGTTTAGTTCAATCGTGTGTTCTGCTTCCGTGAGAGAGGAGAGTGAGAGGGGGTACTTCCTCAGTGAGCTTATCTCACTAAGCATTCCCCCATCTGAGCTTGTTATGCAGAGAGAGTTTTCAGACCTGGAGTGTAACTCTGTGCTGTACTCGGATCCTTCCCTTTTTATCTAAGTGGGTTTTATCAACCATATCTTCTAGTTTTGCTCTGACGTTACTTGCTTCCCAACCAAAGATAATCGTGCACTGTCAACTGGAGTGCGATCCAGTTGCATTTTGGCACAACTAGTACTGCGTTTTTTGGTCTGAATCCAAGCCCGATGCCCGTTCACGCCTTCACTGTTGAATGCCGAAGCAGAGCATCGCGTCAGGCTTGCCATGCGTCCTCGAGGCGCATCAGGCAATGGACCGCTGATCGCACCACGGGACTGCTGTGGGGTGCAGTCCTCGGCGCAGCGTAATGGCCGGCCGGCGAGCCACGTTCGTCGTTTCATCCACCCACCGCCACCGGCGTGGAGGCTAGGCTGTGGAGCAGGAGTTGATGCGTCACCATTGATGGTGGCAGGCAGGACTGCGCAAAGGCGTCCTCTGCTCTATCTCCAATCCATGTGCCACGTGCCGGCCGGCCCCTCGGTATGCAGTAGGTAAAAAATGGTGTGGTTGATCCGGTGGAATATGCTCGAGACGGCAGCGGGTGCGAACGAACCTTCGAGCAATCGAGCTTTTCTTGACAGAAAACCTTCATCAAAGTTCAAACATTAAGCTGCGACGCTGCAGGATTCGCCCTGTTCGCTGGGCTTGTTCTTTAGGCTTATAAGTCGTTCTTTTTCGGTCATCAAATAGTATTTTTCTCTTACAACAAATCAGCCAACACTATTTTCAGCCATGACTTATCAGTCAAACGAGCAATTATTGTCACGGTGGCAAATGCAGCATGTAACGACGGCCAGCGAGGAACGAACCTGACATGACGAGCTGGAGGCGTAGAGCTCAGTGATCGGGAGCATCTGGCATGATGTGCAAATAGCTAGCGGAAATTTCAAATTTATTTTCGTTTCACTTAAGGGCAAGTTTGCATTATATCCGGATTATTATAATCTAGATTATGCGTGGAATTATCTAAAATGTAGCTTATGCTGAAATGTTATGAGAAAAAAATATTGTTTCATGACTGAAAAATTATGCTAAATAAGCTCAAGTAAATAGGGATTATAGTTAGGATTGTAGATTATAATACAGAAACGCTATACCTTAACCGGTTGATTTAGGGCTTCCCCTCGACCGGCTTTTCCTTGTACGCGCTGCTCGCAATCACCGATGGCCTGGCCTGGGTCGTCGGTCGATCGCGGCGCCGTTGTTGTCGCATGTATACCGGCCTGTCTAATCCATCTCTGTACTACCTACATTGACACGACGACAACGCGTCCATCAAAAACGCAGCGCGTGCTTTCTCGCGCGTGCCCGTCGCTAGGCTATTTGCCAAGCTTGGATAAGCTAATTCGACGGCCACGGCCTGATCGGCTCCAACCTGACACGCATGTGTGGTCACATACTCATGGATTAATGGATATCTAGCTACCTCAGTCCTCAGTGCAGCTAGGAACAGTTTATATACAGTATACATCTACTAGTGGAGCACTGCCTATAGTACAAGCCACTTTTTTCTCTGCTGTCTGTTCTTTCGTTTGTAAATTTGTAAGTTTGTGAACAATTTGATGATATTTATGAACAATTTGATATATTTTTATTTGGTATCTGGAATCCATAGAAAAAAATTTGTAATTTTTTTTTTGAAAATTTGGCATATATTTGTCTAAGATCTTGTGTTATCCCCAAATTACATCACCCTGTCCAATAAATTACACTGAATACATCATTGTAAATATAGTAATAAGGCGGTGTAAATATAGCTAAAAGACAGTGTAAGTGTACGAAAAAATTCAGTTGTTGGGAGAAGCTAAAACAACTAGTTGTTGGCTAGGCATATCTCCTTATAATAATCAGGGTGTTTGAGTTCCTCGATTTTGGTGATTGATTATGGTTGGTCAAAGCCAAAAATTCTATCTTATCCTTCAGTTCGGCGAGTTGGAAAATTAGTTGGGGGACAAGTTAAACTTTCGGCACCTATGAACCCCTGTAACCTGGTCTTACATGGATTATGAGATTGTGATAATAAAGGGTTTTCATTCTAACAAGTAACCATCCTTCATTCAGTCAATCTTGTTTCGATCAAAATCTAATTATATAAATTATAATTAGATGGTATCCAAACATGGCCTAAATAGACATGCTGATGGACACCACGAGAAAATCTCCTTTTGACATAACAAAAACTTCTACTTCCTATTTGACACACGCTAAAATTCTTTCCTATTTGTCACCTCTTTCATTTTTCTTTCATATTTGACACTTTTGTTTTTTAGAGTAGTGACGGTGTTAAGTTCTAGATGAAAAGATCGTTTTGTCCATGTTTTTTAGTCGTGACACTGCTTTCGGCGACTATTGCTGTCTTCTTTGGCATTTTTATTTCCAATTGTTATGTTTCTCTTTTTAAATTGTTCCATTACCTCTGGAAAATATCATGACTGAAAAAAAACAATAGGGGCAAAACAGTCTTTTCAAGTAGAACTTAACACTGTTACCACTCTAAAGTCATGGAAGTGTCAAATATGAAAGGGAAAAATAAAGGCATAACAATTGGGAGAGATTTTAAGTTTAGAAGTCAAATATGAAAGCAGAAGTTTTCTAGCGTGAAATAGAAAATTTTATCTAGAGTATTAGGTATTGTGTTTGAGAATGAATTTTGAGATAATTTGAAGATAACTAATTTTGATTAGTCATGGACACTAAATTTATCTAAAAATTTACAATGCCTGTCTGAAAAGATTGTAAGCCCTACAAGGCTGTAACCCGATGGTTCATGGACTAGATTGTGTAATCGTCAGTCCCGCTGATGGTTCTTGCCATGGGGCAAATGCACCGTCCAAACGATGTACCAGGCTACCGGCGTCTGGTATTGCATTTTGTACCCAATATACTTACGAGGTGTCAGCTCGTCTATGCCTGGGTTGGGCCTTGCCCGGATCTGCCAGCAGGACTATGCTTGGTATGGGCCTGTGCTGTCTAGTCTTGAAATCCAATCCTTCATTTACGGGTGGCCCAGCTAGCCCATTGGAGGATATGGAAGTGGCCCGAGCTATTAGACTGCTCCATTTCCGGGTTGTTTTCTTTTCTCAAAAAAAATAAAAATAAAAATTACGGGTTGTTTTCTGATGGCAGCTCGTCAGCCTGCTGTCAGTTGCGGTGCCGCACGCATTATGCGACGGTGTCGCATAGAATTTCGTTCCATTGAGACATTTCGCCAACAGGCTAGGCAACAGAGCAATCAGCAGCAGCGTGGGCGTGGCATGAGCGTCGCCGCATGCCCGTGATCGTGATATGCTTACAGCCTCCTCGTCGTCCTCGAATCCGGCGTCCTGCCGGCAGTGCGGCCAAAACCCCACGGTGCTCCGGACAGCGAGCCGCAGTCAGAACAGGGTCGACCTGTCTGGAGCACAAGAGACAATTCAGCTGGCAGAACCTCGTGGTCAAGAGCCGGATCCAGGATATCTGAAGTCCTTGCTGCGGCTCAGCAAAGCTTTCGTGCGCATCCGTCCGTGTGTGTGTGCGTGTTCCATCCGGAGGCGGTCAAATGGTACGTTCGTCTAGGCCGCGATTAGTTCGGCCGATTCGGCGCCGCCCGAATCACTCTAGCTATACTGTAGCTACAGTGTCGTTTTGTTTTTATTTGGTAATAATTATCCAATCGTTGACTAATTAGGCTCAAAACGTTCGTCTCGCAAAGTACAACCAAACTGTGCAATTAGTTTTTGATTTCGTCAACATTTATTACTCCATGCATATACCGCAAGTTTGATGTGACGAGTAATCTTCTTTCTGTACAGTGCCAAATTCTGGAAAATGAGGAACTAAACATGGCCACTGGACTGATTGCGATCCCGAGTCCTCGTCGTCCGTGCGGGTGATGGGGAATGTGAATGTACACGCGCACGCTCCACTCATCTGACCGGCGGCTTTTCTGACGTCGGTATCCATCGGAGAAAGAGCCTACATCTACGTGATCACGGAGACGCGGATGGACACAGGAGACCCTCGGGCCTCAGCCGGATCGGGCGTTTTGCTCCCGGTTTGTCCTCCGGGATCGCTGCCCGGATGTCGCCGACGGGAATTAGCTAGGTCGACGCCTAGTAGGATTCGCGCCAGTACTCCTAGGTATACACGTACAGGTACTCAGGTTGCAGGGGCAGCAGCAGGGCGCTAACAAGACTTCGTAGTTCCATGGCGTATACAGAGAAACTAAAGCAACAACAGGCAACAGGATTGCATTGGCTTAAGATACCTGAAGGGAATAGAGAACCATTTCAACCGTGTCGCGTTGCTCTCGACAGTACGTAGTACATCAATTTCACATCGCAGGAGTCATGACATTGACACGGAAGAACACTTCTTTCTTTCTTTCTTTATTTTTTTCAAAAAAATAAATAAAATAAAAACATGCTGCCTGTGAGAGGACAGGTACGATGCATTTCTCATCATTCTCGTGTAGTAAACAAAACGTCTATAATCCCGGTGACGGATTTGATCGGTGTTAAATGGTCAGGTCGGTCACCAACCAACTAGTGCTCCACAAAACTGACCAGCAAGTCAACCAGCTAGCACAAATAGTTTTGCACCATAGAAAGGGAGATATATATATACTCCCCAAAGAATTCGACAGCTTATTATTTATCATAAAAATCACGGGACAATCAAATCAGAGGATGGAGAGGCACCAACGCACCCTGCATCTACCAGTTTGTTTATGCCTTCTCGTTTATCATATCCATACGCATTTCAAAAATTTTTTCCTGCCGTTGAAATTAGGGCAAGTTGTGCGATGCTGACAGAGGAACTATAA